CTCTGCCTAAACAACCTATCAAATATAATTATTATAGTTTTAAAATTTACAAGTATTCATACTTTAGAATAAAATACAACATTTTATTTCACAAAAGGAATCTCACAAGTTTCAATGAGTTCTTACTAAAATGATTTAGTCAATCTTGTGTCAACTAGATTATGAAATTCAGATTCAGTATATAATTATAATGAACATTAAACATTAATGTCTTTATAGGAATTCCTAAGTTACAATGCTCTAATGCAACTGTGCAGCCTAAATGCACAATAAGATAAAATGAAAATATTTTATTACTTGAGCTTGCTAGAAATCTAGACAGTCTCAAACGTTTTAGCCACGGCATTGTGGCTCAGAGAATGATGGCTCCAAGATCTTTTTTTCAAGTATAAACTTTTAGCTCATAGTTCCATCTCTTGACCAATTTGAGATCTAATTATGGCTGCAGCTACTGAAGATTCCTTTTGTTTAATGAAATATTGTGGTTAAAAGATGAAAAATATACATTAACCAGCTTAAACACTTATATTCTAGCTAAGTTGATAATCATTAGGCTATGGTCTTCTTTGATATACAATATTATCATAAATTTTAATTCCCCTTCTTCCGATTGTTAAAACTTTTAATTATCCATCTTATGAAAACACAGTATAGTAAGAATCAAAATAATCTTTTACCTGATTTGCTCTAAGATTATGTGGAAATTAAGGTACAAAAAACCATATTTTATTTAACAACTTATAACAAAAATGTACAAAAATATAAACTACTTATACTTCCTAACTATACTACTCAGTCTTTAAAATAACCTTTATGACTAGAAAGTTGTGGTTCCACAAATGTTTAGTTTATTAAAATTTACCTACATTTTATAGTAAACTGATTATAATGTTAAAATAATAAATAAACAATACACAATATTAAAATTGATACACAATTAAAAACATTTCTAAAATGTGGGCTCTGTATGTTTTGACGTTTACCACATCATGTTCAGGTAAACATCGAAACATGTTTAAGTCCCCATTTTAGAAATGTTTTAAATTGTGAATCGATTTTAAAATTGTATGTTGTTTATTTATTATTTTAACATTATACGCAAGACCAAGAAAATAATATCTGATTAAAATGTTTCTGAGAATCATTACCATATGAAGAAGAAAAAATAATAATTCATGTTTTATCCACATATTAGATACGTATTATGATAAAATCTACAACATGACAAAGAATGATGCAAACTTTACCAAACTTGACTGCACATACCTTGTACTGGGTGCCTGGTTAGGTGCTGAAATAAAGCAATATGCTGAGAAAAATTTCTCAAATATGCAAATGCTAATAAAAAATTCAGTTAAAATTTCAATTCATTATCTGCCAACATATCCAGAATATCTACAAATATTGATATATCTTATAACTGACATTAAAGACAATAAGATACCTTTACTATTACCTTGTGTAACTGAACTTTGTAGTTATTTCTCCACTTCCTTTTTATGTTGTATAAATCTTACTCCCATTAGAATTTGATCCAAACCTTTTATTAATGAATTGCCTAAGTCTCTTACTGAATTGTTTAAGCCAATCACTGAAATAGCATGTGAATTATACTACTGAATAACACCCCTTGAGTTTAGAAGTTTCAGAAAAACATCCCCAAACACCCATATGTCAAGGAAATTGGAGAAGTAGTCACAAGCATTAGGCTTCCTCAGGAGGCTATTCCATCCATCCCACATCCTCACACAGAGACCTGGGATCTTTGCATGAGAGCCAATCAAATAAAATAAAAAGGGCTCAGTCAACTAGTCAATAAAGAAGGCTGACAAAGGTTATGAAACATGAAGATGTGTGTGGAGACTTCTAAAACCTACTTGGAAAAAATCTTCAGGATAAACTCACACAACTATATTAAATGGCACCTACTATTAAAATAGAAATACATTCATAATACTGCATAAACTATAACTGGAACTACACATTCTTGACTTACCGGCAAACAAGTAACAAAACACACAAATTAACGTTCTTCAACAAAAACTTCTGTAATATAAGTATAACAACCCATGTAACTACAAACATGAACAAATCAAAATAAGCAACTAGAAGTGTATCTTCGAAAATCAAAATGATATCCTAGTCAGAAGAACTATAACAAAAGGACAATGAAACACACTGAGGGACTTAAATGATACTTGAAATGCAGTGACAAAGAATGATTTATTTGACAAGTAAGAGAATGTCTGAGTGTTGCCTGATAACTGTCACTGTAGAAACTGACAAACTTTCCCTCATAAATTAAGCAAGAAACATAGCGCCATCCAACGAAATGCCACAAAAAACCTGTGCCAGATGGTAGATCTTACATAAATATGCAAATTAAATAAAAAGAACAAAAAAACAAAGGTCTATTATTGAATTGTTTAAGCCAATCACCATTTATTATACTGTTCTACAGCATTACAACAAGGACAAACATGTTGAGCCTCTTCCGAGAAATTAAATGCTAGAATCATCCATCAACCACTGAAACAGCAAATAAACGAGACACCAAAAAATAAAAATGGTGAATTGTGGTTCAAAAAAAAGTGTCAAACAGGTCTATCATAGGATATTCCACAATCTGAGCAAAACGGTATAAAAGTAGAGATATATAGATCACTACACATGAAAGATATACAGGGATATGATAGTTCATCAACCAGGAAATTTACAACTCCTGGTGTACAACAAAGCTTACACAGCAATAACTGAAAATGGGCATAAAACATGAAACACAACTTCTTTGCTAAGGAAACATCATGCAACCTGTTGATATAAGCTACAGCAATATTGTTGTCACTTGGCCAATAGCAAACAATAAGGTATCCCGATAATTAGAATAAACATTCTTAACAGCCTAGAGCTCCAGAACACTGATATGGGACCCAATCGACAAAACTTCAGTAAAATTATAAATATATTTGGATATAACCAGGAATACCTTGGATTATGTTGTTCCCAGGGGCTTCACACTGAACTAAGCCTTTTTTTAGAAATTTATCTAATTTTCAGTGGAAATTGTTTGGAGAATTTCTCATTTATATTAGTCAAAGCAGCCAATTTAACTGTCATTAATTTATATTCAATTAATGTAACTACTTTCAGTTTTACTATTTTTTCAAAGTTCAGACATAGCATTGTATTTTTCCAGTAACCTTTCCATGTCATTTACATATACAATACAACACTATTTCTTCTGCACAGTGCCATCCTCATTTTCAACTCCTCCGAGCCACTTGGGTTTGTTTGTCCAAATCCCGATTTTATCCTTGGTTAGAGCTTTACCATTTCTTCTTCTATTTTTACACGCCGTTCTCCACTGTGTTATATTTTTTTGGTTTTTCTAGTGTTCACATATACAGCCTCTAGAAAAACATTACACATTCATTTAACTCCTAACTGCATATCCACAACATTACTATTAAACTCATTAACCACTCTGAATTACAGCTGGCACATAAAAACATAATATGCTACTAACTACTTACTGTAACATAGCCTGAAGTGGTTGGTTGGTCCACAGCAAGGTATCGAACCCCACATTTTTAGAATTGTGTGTCTGTAGACTAAATGCTGTTCCAATGGAGTACAGCCTGACGTGTGCAACAAATATCACATGTATGACAGATAATCATTTCAAACAGGAGAAAGATGAAAAGTGTCATGTGTGTCGTACTGTATGTTGACTGATGATTTATTCAGTTCAAAGTCCAGACTGGGCAGGTAAGAAAGACTTGTGCCACAATTTGGAGAATTTATTGATGAATATTATCACTAGCTTTTACTTTATAACCTGTTCAGCAACAGCATAAATCCTACATTAACACAAAATTGACTGAGTTCTAGGAAAGAAGAAACATCTGATCAAAATACATTTGTGAGAAATCTAAGTCCAAGTTCCATTTAAGTACATACAGATGGCACATAACCAGATCTACTACCATCCGAGTCCAATCAAAAAGAGGTTGTGACAAGCAATAGCATCAGTGATTCCTAGTGAACCAAATATCAAAGTGAAATTGCAAACTTCCATAAAAAACAACAAAAAACGAAACACTTAGGTGGGGGTGTTATGCAGATATTCTTTCTGATTCATACTATCCTTGTGATTATATTAACTTTTCACTGCTAGCAAACTGGAGTCAAGCCTAGGAAGAAGCCAGAACTTATTCAATGCATTAGCATTGATGAAATGTTGTCCATCTATGAAAATAAGCCCAAGGTCAGGGCACTGGCAATTTCGATGAACACATATGAAGCACAAAGCAGACAAAAAGGGTGAATGCAGATTATAAAAACCCATTTCTCATTAACAAAAATAATAAAATGATGAAAAATAAGAGGAATAGAAATATGAAAAAAAAAGGTGTACAAAGAACGTTTTAGTTATCCAATGACTTTGCTAGTAAAAGTATAGCTTGTAAATGGTTTGTCAACCAATGAAATGAAATGGGGACCAGCAGAAAAGAAGGATGGCAGTCTTACATGAATTCCAGTCCCTCTTTCAAAATGAAAAAAATCCAATGTTCATTACTAATGCAATGTTACAAAGACCCACAAACCCTTCCAATCTTTCACCCAAGTTCCAAGTCATCTACATGTTCCTGATTAAATCAAGAAGGTCATCTTGCCAAGGGACCTAGCTAGGAACTGGAAACAAGAATATCCCAAGGTAGAAGATAAAGCCAAAACAGATGTCAGCAATAAGTTCTAAAGAGTAAGAATCATGTCCAAATCACCATCTTTAAATCTGGGAACCATATGTAACTAGTAAAGAAAAAATGCTCTAAAGAAATAATTTGTACAATAGTATCTTCAGAAGTACCAAATACAATAAAGAAGGTCACAGTTTCACAGTATGGCAATCATAAAGAAACAACAATAGTTTCTCTGCCAAAGTATCACATGACAATGCATATCCACAGTTGTAAGTTAACTAGACCAAACAATATCACACACTGAAGGGTGTAGACTCACGTAAATTGTGTCAAAATTAGAAAGGAAAATTCATTTGAGATCTCCAAATCCAATACAAGACAAACAAACACTGAAATATACTGTCTATGGAATCTGCTTACCCAAGAAGTCAAATTTGAGGATGTCCATGTGGGAAAAGAAAAACCTCTGTAGTTTTCAAACTATAAAAAAAATTATCAGTCTGAAGAATAACATCAGGTGAGGGTGTAGTATGACAGGTAATGAATGTCCAAAACCTCTGACAAAATTGCATAAGGGAACCCAGAAGATTAACAGGTTCAGTCTCTAACTTCTGGCAAACAGTCAGTTACTATTAATTCTGAATCAAATCTGAAAAAGATACATCCCCCAAATCTCAAAATTTTGTGATATTTAAAATCTAAAACACTAATGCTCCCAAGATACCCAAGCTATTTCCCATAAAAGAATCAAAGAGAAACTGTTATGCATAAGGAGAAGAACCCACTTGACTCCCTACAAAAATGTGGGCAGAAGACAAGGACATTAATTATACATTAAGTATCACCAACAAAAACCCACAATGTCAACAGTATATGTAGAAGGAATAAATCCATGTCTAAACTAAACTTCCAATCAAAAACCATTAACATTTCTGCAAAGCAGGTTAGAAGATGGAAAGAAAAAAGATTATTTACACAATGAAACAAGAAACAACTACACACACAAGAGTATTAAAAGGTAATCACAGAACAAAAGTTTAACCAAATCAAACACATGGTGAATGCACACAATAATGAGAAAATGTAAACATGAAGAGCTAGGAAAGTACAACTGAAAGTCAAATAAAGGTAGTACAACATAAGAGAAGGAAATTGGTTATGAGATTATACCAACAGAGGGTATAAAATACATGACAGATTACAAAAATGTTCTAATGGAATTACGTGCAGGTAAGAGTATTACAAACTTGCAAATCACAGTTAGGATAAAATGAAAAAAAAGGCATAAAAAGGTTCAGTTTTTGGCATCCCCCACCCCCTCACAAAAAAAAAAAGTATACTAAAGGTAATAGCAGAAGTAACATATATCTGAATACTCTTTTTCTTCGGAAATTATCAACACTAGACTACTTTGAAACATTTAATTTCAAACATGGTAATTATTAATATATATACATCTCATTATATTCATGTTCCTGCACTATATTTTACCACAACAATAATACTGCTAATTTAGGTTACTATATGGTGAAGTAAAACAGACTAAAAACCCACAGACAAACTGCTAAAAGATTACCAAATGCAATGTGTTACCAACTTAAAATGTAATTTACTAAACTTATTCTTATAACACATACCAACTGCTGATATGCAATATGATCCACATATTTCATTACAAAACACATCATAATTTTCTCTTTTCATTTGAAAATTTTAATTCATCTTATAAAATTAGCTGTTTGTTTGCTAGGCACCCTTAATTTTGAACTGATGAACTAGTCAACAGTATCCACCACCATCTCTTGGTCTATACTAATTTTACAGTGGGACTTAAATGTTGTTCTTATAAAGTACCTACAGTTTCAAAATTCAGAGTGGGATCTTATGATATCAGACCACAAGCCTCTCAATTCACAGTTTGGCACACTTACCATTAAGCAATGATTGGCCCTCTTTCATGATTAAACATGTAACCCATTCAATTATTATTTTTCATCCATATAAAAAATTATCAAATTAATTTAATCTTTTTTTCCTACGATAGTGAAGATAGTTCAAAGTGGATATTTTCCCACTAACTCCTTATTCTAAATTTTCTTTCCAACATTTTTAATCTTTTTTTTATTACTCAATCCAATATAAGTTGATAAAACTATAAATACAAAGTTACAGTGCGTCTTTTGATCTGATTAAACTGAATCTTGAACTTCCTTAACAGCTTTAAATAAAGTATAGTTTTAAACCTTTATTTGTCTCTTCAAAAAATGTTAGTATACATGTAGTTATTTCAAGTTTTTTGCAAAACAAAAGTTATTTAATTAGTTTTTTCAGTCACAGTTAATGCAATTTCTCACAACTGATTTTGACTTTAAAATGCCTAAAATAATTCAAACTACAAACATTTTTATGCTTAATAAACTAAGGTCGATTACACAAAGCTTTAAAAACATCGTTTTGCTGGTGGTAGTGCAAATCAAACGTTAGCTTGATGAAAAAATAAATACCTAGAACACTGAGAAAGTCAGAGTACTTTATAGCCTTCATAGTGAAAAAAATAACCTAAGAAGTTAAGGCTTATAATCGTAATCTGCAAAGTTTCAAATAAACTGTGCTTTACCTACATATCAAAACAAAGTTGGCCTAACATACTTTTGTACTTATTAATGAGCTGTAGCATCTGTAAACACCAGTGGCTGCAATTACAAAACCAGGTTGGCTCGCAAAGGGTATAAGAGATAAAATTAAAGAAAAGCATATTAAATTTAAGAAACTTAAAAATGACTGGTATGATGGGAAATTTAGAAGATCAAGAAAGTTGGTCAAACAGGAAATTAGGACATCCAAAGGATGCATGAAAAACAGTTTGGCTGAAAATGTACAAATTAAAAGTAAAGATTTATTTAAATACATTAAGGGTAAACAAAATGTTAGGATGGGGTAGGACCATAGAGGGATGATAAAGGAAGGCTTGCACCTGTTGATTATGAGATATGTATTTTATTAAATTCTGCTTTTTCTCCAGTTTTTACTTATGGACAGTTGATAGATGGAAACAACATTGAACAAGATAACTGCATTAATTCTGAGCTGGTTAAGAAAAAAATTGGGAAGTTTAAAGAAGGATAAAGCTCCCGAGCCAGATAATATTCCCCAAGGGTTTTGAAGGAGCTAAAGATTGGATATGTCAGCCACTTTCTACCATTTTTTGTAAGTCTTTGAATGGTGGGCAGGTACCAGAGGATTGGAAGTTAGCTAATACTGCTCCTCTTTTCAAGGGAGGTGATAAAAATTGTCCCAGTAATTATAGGCCCATTAGTCTTACATCAGTTGTGCGAAAAGTTTTGGAAAGTCTGATAAAAGATGCTTTGCAAAGCCATTTAACAAAGTTTATAATTTTATTTGATAGTCAACTTGGTTTCACTAAGAGAAAATCTTGCCTTACAAATTTTTTTCACATTCTTTGAAAAGGTTACTTTTTATGTAGATGAGGGTGAAGGTTTGGTGTATCTGGACTGTCAGAAAACCTTTAATAAGGTTTCACATAAAAGGCTTGTAAAAAAAATCGTATCTATAGGTGTGTGGGATAAGTTAGCTAATTGGATAGAAGAGTGGCTGGATGAAAGAAAGCAGAGGGTTGTTATAAATGGAGTTCAGTTAAACTGGATTAATGTCACAAGTGTGGTACCTCAGGGCTCAGTTTTAGGACGAGTTCTCCTTTTGTTTTACATCAATGGCATAAATGAAGGAATGGTCAATAAATTGCTTAAATTTCCCGATGATATTAAGGTCTTGGGTGTTGCAAGCTGTGAAGAGGATGCTGCTGATTTACAAAAGTATTTAGATCATTTAGTGAGTAGGGCAAATAAATTACAAATGGGTTTTAATTATAATCAATGCAAGATAATGCATGTGGATTATCATAATTTGAATTATAAGAAGAATAATGGGAATAACCTTAACAGTGTCATGAAAGAAGGGAATCTTGATGTAATGGTTGAATCAGTGTGCTGTTGCTAGTAGTATGGCAAATAGGATTTTAGGTTGTATATACAGTAAAATTAAATACAAGTATAAAGAGGTTATAATTTCTTTGTATATGTCACCGGTTAGGCCACATTTGGAGGATCGTGTTCAGTCTTGAGCTCCTTACCTTAGGAAAGACACTGAATTGTTGGAAAGGGTTCAGAGGAAGGTTACTAGAATCATGCCTGGGATGGAGGGGTTGTCATACAAGGAGAGGTTGAGGTCTCTCAAATTTTCTCTTCAAAAAAGAAGAGTTAGAGGGAATCTGATTGAGGTGTTAAAGGTGTGACAGTTTTGATGCATCATCTTTTTCATACTTAACAGAGAGAATAGTAAGACTAAGTGACAAGGTTTGGCTGGATAGGAGTCATCTTCGGCTAAGACAGTTTTATTTTTCTAACAGGGTGTTTGTCCTTTAGAATGGTTGCCTTCAGATGTTGTGGAGTCAGTAAATTTAAGTGAGTTGAAGAGAAAGTTTGATAATTATATGAATGATAAGGGCTAGCTTTAAGACTTATTTTTAAATTTAGTTATTTAATAGTTTTAGTTCAGTTTAGAGGATGGGCCAGCTGAAATAGACCAATAGGTCCCTTGTTTTCCCAAAATATGTTAAATAGTTATTTTCATAACATTTCTAGCAGTTTCTCCTGCTACCTATACATGATATCTATGATATGACATTTTAAGAAAAACATGTTATTTAGGCATAATTTATGTTAAAATTGACACAGAGTTTCAAATCACCTAATGTGTGTGTTCCACCATAGAAAAACAATTAAGGCAGCATGTACCAGGTCAGAAAGAAATTATGGTAAGGTTCCAAGGAATTAGGCAAATGTGTAATAGTTAATTCTACAAAGTAAACACTATATGGATGAAGCTACGGATTAATGTGGATGCAAAAATATTTCTTACAGCTCTCACATGTAAATGGACCAATAAATAAATAATGTTTTATTAAAAAATGTGGATAACAAAGACCTTAAGTATTAAATATATCATCTTTTTACGCAAAACAGCAAACCTGTATTTATTATAAAAATAAGTAATATTGAATCTACTAGCTTATTTCCTCCGAATTATTTAGTAGGCAAGCTTGTTGAAATGCTAAGTACAAAGCCCAACCTATCATTTGATTCACCACTTGTAGAACTTAGTGACACATGGCAAATCAAAATATAGGTTAGGCTTCATCTTTAAGTATTAATCAAAACTTCATTAAACTAATCTATAAAGTGACATAAGTTACCTTTTGGATATCTTCCTCTGGCAAGAAGTCGTTTGCTCATCACACAGGTTTACTGTTTACAAGAAACATTATCCTCATTTTATATAACCAAATATGTCAATTAAAAACTCAACTCTTTCTCACAATAAAGTCAACAAGCCATCACATTAATTGCTATTTATTAGTTAACTATTTATATGAGTACTATAACTTAACACATAATTCATAACTTTAGGGAATAACAAAAAATCTAAAACATATTCATAACACTGCAGTGTTAACATTATTGTTTAATAAAATGTAAAAATACACTTGTAATTCTGTTTTGTCAGTATCACAGAAAGGAAGGTACATGTGCTTGTTGAACCTTTATACACACAATGTACATACAGTAGTATAATAGATTATTTTTTTTCTCCGGCTAACAACTACTACTGTTTTGTGTTTCTTGATAAATTTTATGCAACCAGCATTTTGTTCAGATGGCATCTATAAGCTCTAATAATACTGGCTATTTTGACCTTGTTGTTGAGTCAAAAAATTTCACAAGATCATAGATAATTATTTATTTATTTGCTAACTCTGGAAGTTATAAATATGTAGACCTACGTATACACCTTGAAGAAAATGGACTTACAAAACAATGTAATTCAAACAGCAAATTGAAGCATCAGCATGAGTAAAACAGCTGCTTTAGAGTTTAAAAGTACATAGAAACATGAATCAAACAGCTGCTTTGGAGAATAAAATACACACGTGATAGAAAAAACAAGTAACATACTGCTGATGTAAACACACAAAGTAGTTGCTCAACAAAATAAAAATCTTATACTGTGCACAAGTACAAAATTATTTTCCACCAGATCATAAACCTTTAACAACAGTAACAATTTAACCCTTTCGTTACAACAGGGTTGTCCTTCATACAGTCACGATTTCTATTCCCAGGGATCATAGGGGTGTACTTGGATAAGTTTTTTTCATACTGAATTCAATTATATATGGCCTTTCTTCAATAAAATATAAATCAATAAATACAGAATTTTTGATATTTCATCAAATTTTCCCAGTTCCTGGTAATACAATATATCTGGTTGTAGAACAGTTAAACATTAATACTTGAACAAACTTGAACCATATGCACATAAAATACAGAAGTAACTTAATTAAAGCCATGTTTGCTTTAATTCTGCCTGCTTATGATGTTCCTGATGAGTTACTGTTAAAAATACCTGGATAAAAACCTTTATAAAACAAGTTAATATAAACAATATTTTGTTTCTTGTCTAATGACTTTTCAAAGAATTACACTTGAATTAAAAATCTGTAAATAAAAAAAAACTATCATAAGAAGGAATATATTGGACAATGGTTGGAAAAACACAGAAATTGAATTGTGGTAAGTACAAAGTTGTACTTGTGGGTTATCATAATATCAATTACACACACAATTTAGATAGGGAGTTCTCTTAATTACATAGATAAGGAAAATTATCTTGTGGCATTGTTTGATACAACTCTTAAGCCTTTGAGGCAATGTTCTAATGTAAATGGTAAATTTACAAAATTTTGGACCCTATTCAGCAATATCAACTGCAAGTCTAAAGATACTATGGTTTCCCTGTAAAAGTCACTAGTTATGACTCATTCGGAGTATTATAGCTTTGATCCCCTTATCTCTGGAAAAATACTGAGTGGTAGAAGAAGGTTCAAAGATGAACTACTGGAACAGTTTTTGGAGATAGGTTGAACCTTATTTTCTCATGAAAAGAAATAAAAGGGAATATTCAATTGCCAGATAACTTGAAATTCTTTTAGGCAGGAATAGAGTAAATTAATCTATGAGACCTCTTTCCTTTCTATTAAGTATATTTTTGTGTGGCAACAATACCAAGTGTGGGGTGCATGTATATCCAATTTGATTTTACTACCCATCAGCTTACCCTCAAATTGAAAGGGTTTGACCTCCTGAGTCCAAAACTGTAATTACATCTCAAATCAGTAAAAAGATGACAGAAATATGAGCTAAAAGTTTTTACTTGAAAAAAAAAACTCAGAGCCATTCTATGAGCCACTATGCTGCAGCTAAAAAGTCAAAGGCAGTCTAAGTGAAGTATTGAAAATTAGCAAGACTGATATCACAGAATTTTTCATGTTGAATACTGAAAGTAGAAAATCACTGGCTAAAAAGTCTAAGATATGGAAAGATTAAATAAGTCTCTAACTGAATAGTTTTCCTTAAGGTGTGGTAGAAGGTGCTACATTAAGGGTTTAAGAGAATAAAGAATTAGTATTTTGCAGAGGACAGGGCGGATATAAGAAAATAACTGTATTCTAATTTGAAGTATAATGGAAGTAGAAAATTGGACAACATAAATGAACCAAAAGGTCCCTTGTCACCTCTTGGGATAAAACAATATGCCATCAAGAGTGGCATAAGCTACTACTTTACATAAGTTTAAAAATACTTGGGGGGGGGGGGGTATCAGAGCTGGAGTTAGTAATTAGTTTTCTACTTGTTGAAGTGAGTTTAAGAATACCTGAAGGATCAGAGCTGGAGTTAACTAGTTTTGACTTGTTGAAGTGAGTTTAAGAATACTTGGGGGATCAGAGCTGGAGTCAGTAATTAGTTTTGTGTGTTGAAGTGAGTTTAAGAATACTTGGGGGATCAGAGCTGGAGTAGTAATTAGTTTTCTACATGTTGAAGCGAGTTTAAGAATACTTGGGGATCAGAGCTGGAGTTAGTAATTAGTTTTCTATCTAATGATGACGAGAAACCAACTTGAAGTAAAAATGTATAGCATAGATGGCTGGTATGGGTATTAATAACTTTTCTATAGTTTTCTATTTGTTGAAGGAAGTTGAGAGTCAGAATATCCTTGATTGGTCAAAAGGCTTGTTGATGTCCCATAATACACTTCATTTACAACCCAAAAAGATGCACGTATGGTAAAAAAAACATGCAACAAAGAGAATATCAAATTTATCACAAAAAAAGATGTTCTTCGAGAAGTAGTCTCTTTCTCTTCATCCTACACACAATGAAAAAAAATTGCATAAAGGGCTATTATATGGTGCTTATGTAGTGTCAAAGAAAAGTCCAAGAGGGTCACAAGTATCTCAATGGTTTCATAGTTGAATGGGTTAAGTACAATCCAATGCTTGTGTAAATAAATTTCATTCACTGCACCAATCTTCATTATTTCTATTTTAAAACAAAAACAAACAATGATAGCATCTGTCAAGAGAAAACAAAAACAGGTTAAGTCAAGATGATAAAAACCTGAAGAAAAAACTTCTGTGCAAGCATTCTCTGATTTTATCACAGAAGCACAAAACCCACTGCACACACACACATAGATTATCTTCTGAATCAATAAAAAAGTCAAAACATATCTTATTCATTCAATAACAAACTATACTAATAAAAAAAATAACCTAACATTCTGCTCTTACTTTTAAATGTAAATTTTCCAATTTTCAAGATTTCTATATTTTCTATTATTATCATCAGAAATGAAAATAAAAACTTTTGTAGAAGGCAATAAACAGTATAACATACAAGAAAAAAAGTGTTCAAGAAAATTCATATAATGGCTTATTCCATACTAGTTTGTATAGTTTTGTGAAACAAAGCTTTCTATAAAAAACAACAACAACAACTAAAAAAAACTTATAACTGAAAAAATATCCAGGAATAGGGGGAAAAAACAACTAACTTAATGATCTAATAAAGTATCTGAAATGTTTAATTTACATGCTATAAGCACTGTATTAGTCACATGAAATTCATCATTAGACAATTATCTTAGCTCTGCTAAACTTAACAAAGTTTATAATACATTTTCAAACAATGTTATCAAATTACATGTTTAAAAATACATTATTACATTAAGATGTTTGGATGGAATACAATGTACAACTTTATAATAACTGCAGGAAATTAATGAATAATTGGGGTACCTCAGAAGAGTATGTAATAGTGAAACAAGCAGTTTATATTTAATGCTATAATAATTATTAAAATATTTCATACTATTATTCGCACAGTTTGGCAATAAAGATGAAATGACACATTTTTACAAAAAATGCAAAATTTTAAACAATTTATTAGATGATGTGATAAGTACAACATGGTTTAACTGTTACACTAGAACTACAGTTACTTTGGTTAATCCTTTTTTTCTTTCTTTTTTAAGCAAAAGTTTGTTTTATGTTCAACAGCCATTATGATTTCAAGATGTACAAAAACAAAAATGAAGTATCTTTGATTTTTGTTCTAACCTGTTTAACCTGACATTTTGGGTGAGACATGGTAATTTTTTTTTCAAACCTGTCATAGGAAAGATGTGGCAGATGGCAAAAGTTACAGATTGAAAACACTAGCAGGTAAACTTGTAGCATAATACCAAGTTATCTCCAAGTCTTTAAGAACTTTTTACCAGAGCTACAATATATACAAAATTGGAATGTTTTTCTTGAAGAAATTAAAATAGGCTACAGTAGGTTGCAAGATTCAGATTTGAATTACCCCCCCCCCCCATCTTTTTCTGTGAACTTTGCTGCCTATAATTTTAAAATTTTCATTGGGTTGAGGGGGGGGGTATGAAAAACTGCATCAAAAATGTAAAATATCAGTATTTACTCATCACTTTTCTGTTCCTTATAACCCAAAAATTTGCTGTCTTGACACTTAGCTTACAACTTGCTTTATTAATCTATTATACTTTCTTTTTTTGTAGATTACTTATTATCTAGATGTTTGAAAGGGCGTAGAATTGATGCACATAGATTTTCAAAAAAGTTTCTCATAAGGTGCCAAACAAAAGATTAGCTAGCAAGTTAAGCTACTGAACATTGCTTTTTTCTAAGGTTGCATATCAACTAATCCTAAATCAGCTCACAGACTTTTTGCCCATTTAAAGCTTTCCTTGCGCTTAAGTAAAAGCTTGATCTTATCATCTACTGGGAAATAGTGATGTCTTATCTTCTTCACTGTAAATCAGCTAACCCCCCCCCCCCAAAGAAAAATAATAACAATAATTTTGTTATACAAACCTTTTGACCAAAACTTATGAGGAAGTGAGCAAAAACTTTTATTTTACCTTTATCAATTTTTGTAAAAGCAAAATTTTTTCAGTTTAAACACTTTAAAATGTTAACTTTATACTGAGATTATCACCAACTGTTTCTGCTCTCAAAGTACACAAAATAAGACAGTAATCTCAAGATATATAAAATATTTAACCAGATGTCAAGGAAGCACATTTTTGGTGACAAAGAACAGAAAAATATTGCTACTGTACACTTTTGATGCTGCAATTTTGCATCTACCACTCTCAAAATTAGAGGCAGAAAATATGTAGAACAAAGTATTTTTTGATCTAACCTAATATTAATTTCATGATGATCAAGAAAGTCAGAAATTTAATTCAAATATGAATCTTGCAAGAATTGATCATACATGCAGATAGCCAAAGTGGTAGAAAACAGCAGTGTTAGCAGTGCAGATAAGCACTCTTTTGGTATTGTTAGCACTGTTTGCAGTGCAAATAGTCTTGGCCAAAAGATATAGCAAATTCATCATAAAAAAGATTGTAAGCAATGCTTCAAGGAAATCATACTAAATGCTTTGTACTGGGGAAAATTACATTGCAAGTTTCCTATTGATCTAAAATGAAAAATTCTGTTCTTGCAAAATTCCAAATACCCTATAGTATAAATACTATAATTATAAATCAACCTCATAAGTTATCAAGACTCATGCATCATTTTGAAGCAAAACTGTTTCTATAGCATGGGCCTACAATAACATATACAAGCAGTTATTAAAATTAAAGCTTCCATGTGTATATAAAAAAAAGATTATCTATAGAATACATACTAAAAAGAAATAAGTAGCAAAACATAAATCCTCATTAATACATTAATCTCATACTGGCTAACTTATTATTATAATTAATTGTCAATAAAACTGTCACTTCGTTTCGTAATACTACTACTAGTAACTTAGGCATAATCTACGAATATATCGACATATGTAATGTAACTTAAGTTACACTGTAATTTGTAAGCTCAAACATCGACTGCTTTACAAATTACAAACAGATTGCGCATAAGAACACAATCTTATACTGTTACAGACAGAAAGTAAAAAGTTTACATATATATGTGTGTTGAATTCGTTTAACTTACATTTTCAAAATATTTCTTCCTGAACAATCAGCCTAAATCAAATATTTTATGCTAAAATATGTTTCCTCTTGTTTAGTACTACTTTATATTATACTAAGAACTTACGTTAACCACCGTGGCTTTACGTAGACGTCACCTTAAGTTTCAACACTAGGGGGAAAAATCAATGATTTAAAATAATTGTTCATTAAATTTTTATAATAATAATATTTAAGATTATTCTTTGAACAAACGTTCAATTGTTCGAAAAGTACAATCATTGTTAGTAGTTAATCAATAGAATATTGAAATAATATATTTTTGTTTATTCAGATTACATAATATGTATTATAATACATATAATTAATTTTTCCCTTTTTGTAGAATGTATGTCTGTTTAAGGTTAAAACGAAATGCTAGTATTACAACATGTTACAAACGCTTAAACCTGCTAATAAATTTCAGTACACAAAGATGTTAAATTAGAGAAAATTTGTTTGTTCGTAGACAATGGATTATTTGTAGTGTTCCCACCACGGGTATCAAAACCCTGTCTTTAGCGTTATAAGTCCGCAGACATGCCGCAGAGCCACCAGAGGAAAAGGTTTGAGCATCAAAATACTATAATATGCATCATAAATAAAATTTAAATTATTACAATAGACATTAGTAGGGTTTCTACTTGCCTTTGAATAACATAACATTATGAGTTAAAACAGCAGCCAAAACAATGAAACTTTAAATATTTTCTACCTACTAGTAAGGCTTTAACATGTTGTATTCTTATTTTAGATTATAAGATATTTTAAAATATATAACATTATTTTGTAATAATAATATTAGTATGTTATTTTTTGTAGTTATTGTTAAATGATTTGGCTGATAAGTGTTTTGTGGTAGTTTTTCTGTGCTTTTCCATATAAACAAGAGTTATCATTGACATTGCCCCCAGTTGTTCAGCCGTAAGCCTGAGGTTTATAGCGCTAAAATTCGGGTTCCTATACCCGTAGTGGGCAGAAGACAGATAACCCATTGTGTAGTTTTGCGCTTAACAACAACTAAACTAACACCAATTATTGAGGTTGTGCTGATAATATAAATACTATACAGTTCTCTTCTTCTTGTCTAAAGTCCACTTAGGCCAATTCATTTGCTTTAGAATTCAGTTGACAAGCCGAACTAATTATCTCTATTTTTATCTTAAATACTATCAGTGTATAATTCCCTTATTCCTTTTCTTCTTCTTTTTATCATAACAGTATCGCTGTATTATTCACTTATGGTGCTTCCTGAATTACTGCTGCTGCATCCTGAACTTCTGATACTCTTCTGCTTTTTCGTATTTAGGCCTACTTCCAATAAATGTCTTCTTTTCGCATATAGACCTACTTCCAAATAATCGTCTGTTTTTTGTCAAAGTCTACACAGGCAGGTTCAAATGCCTTTGAACACCCTTTGACGAGGCAAATTATTCTCCAAAATTTTTAGAAAACTGTTCAACTCACTCTAAGATATAACCCTTAGGCTATTCCCTCCTACAACGGTTAAATTTACATTTTCTAACTTTTCTCTGACTGAAACTCTCTTTCGCTCGGCTTTACTTTTGGCTCTCTTTCCGCTCTCTGGTCTCTCGTCTGGTTGTCGCTATTTATATCTCTCACCCTAGAAATCTCCGTAGCCTCTAGGACAGCGGGGGGCACGTGACGCTAGTAACAAAACTAGAAAAGAAACAAGAAGAGAAATTACAGCAGTGGTTGGAGAAAAAAGAAAAGAAACAAGAAGAACGAGAAAATAAACAAGAAGAGAGATTACAGCAGTTGTTGGAGGAAAAAGAAAAGAAACAAGAAGAGAAATTACAGCAGTGGTTGGAGGAAAAACAAAAGAAACAAGAAGAACGAGAAAATAAACAGGAAGAAAGTCTCCAACAGTTGCAGGAAAGTCAGCAGCAACTACAGGAAAGTCAACAACAGTGGCAAATAGTACAAATGGAAAACATTAGTAAATTTAAAAGCGAATTAAATACATTAAAGGATGATTTATTGTCTTTTACACAAGGAGGATACATTAACTATCGACTTAATCAGCCCCAGACAATGGCAAGCTCCTTCCAGACCCCGCTAGTGGATCTGTTAACAGGACGCCCGCCTTATGAAGAGTTGCCTGAAAATGTGTCAGAGTTTGTGAAAGCGTTATCAAAAATGATGGATGATATTCACCATGAAGTGCGTTCAAACTTGAAAATGTCTGCTGGTTCGATGAAGTTATCTTATGATGAGAGATCTACTGAAGTCAGCTTTGTACTAGGAGACAAGGTGTGGTTGTATACTCCCAGGAAGACCAAAGGGAAGTCTCCCAAGTTGTCATCTCCATGGGAAGGCCCATATGACATAGTGGATCGTCTCTCAGACGTGACTTTCCGGATAAAATGTGGTCGGCGAGGTAAGCCAAAGGTGGTGCATGCCAACAGGCTCTGGCATTATCACGGTCCAGGACATTTCAGTTGGGATAAAGTGAACAACAGAACAAATGACGCTGCTGAAGACGTGTCACCTGAAAAAGCCACTGTCGAAGAAGAACCTCGACTCGGAAACAGTGAAGCCCTTGATGAAGTT